CAGGGAAGGCCGGTGTGTGGGAGTGGAATGTGGAGGACGTGTGGGAGAGCACATGAGTGCAAGGATGCAAGGCATGGTCCAGGGCTGATGGATGGGAAGCGGCGGGAAGGTTTCCAGCTAGAGTGTCAGGACCTGAAGAGCATTTCACAGGATGGCAGTAGCTGTGATGGGCCCCGTGGAGAACAGACCTCAGGAGCCAGGAGAGGAGCGAGGAGACACCTAGGCCACCAGCACAACGATGGGGTGCCCACGACAGGATGGAAGCCTGAGGTGATGAAGCTGGATCTGTTTTGAAGGTAGAGCCTATAAAGTCAGGTTTTGTTCACGGATTAGATATGGACAGTGAGAGACAAGGAAGAGAAAAGACAGTTCCAACGTTTTGTTTTGTTTTTCCTACCTGACAAGGGAGTGAATTGAGGTACTGTTTCCTGGGATGGGAGAACTGGGGCAGGTGCAAGCTGTCCAGGAATGGCTGGAGTGAAGAAAGCAAGGGGAAACAGAGAAGTTATGGGAGGTCAGGGTGCCCCACTCTGTTTCATGAATACAATCTTTTCATAGTTTTCTGAGAAGGTAAATTACTGTTTTCCTCCAGAAAACTTTTCTTCTGTTTCCTGCACTGACAGTGTTTCCTCTAGGTTTCTAGCATCCATGTGCACGTTTTGGCCTTTCGTGTATCGGCTTTCCTCAAATGTCCAGTCACCCCTGGTCGTTTTTTTAAAGAATGGGGCCATGGAGCTTACGGATGTATGGGTGCTACTGTCAGGTGATTGGGTGGCCAGCTGGTCTACTCACTGCGGGATTCGCAAATGTTTGTACCCAGAGATCTTTGGTGCCTCTAGTTTCTCCAAGGAAGAATTCTCCCATCTCCTGCCCGGGGTAGGATGGGGCAGTGGTGTGTGCAGTCTGGCTGCAAGTGGGTCAGAATCTGAGGCAGGGAAGGGACTGGGCTTTCACTGTTCACCAGTTTTCAGCCCCATGACCCCATAACCTCATCTTCAGCCTAATGTCCCTGAGTCCAGTTCATCTCAGGCTCAATTTCTATAGAGAATAAACCCCTGGCATCTTGTGGAGGGGAAGGGGGCATCTGCCAGCTTCACAAGATTGGGTAGGGGGACCAGGGGCTCTGAATTTTTAACCAGCCCCCCTGTATTCAGCTCCGTCTCACTCCCACCTCTGCAGTTCCCCATTGCCTGTATGTTCTGCACCTTTCAAAGGTGCTGGGGGGTGACCTGCTTCCTACCCACTGGGGTTCCCCTCTGTGGGTGCTTAGGTTCTGGTACCCTCTCCTGCCCTAAGTCAGTGATGCCTCAGCCACTTTCCATGTTCTAAACATGTGAAATTTCTCATCTGCTGATATCTCTTTATTCTTGTGGGTTTTAAATATTTTATTGACTTTCGTATACTCACACATTTACCATTTGGGGCACTCTTCATTCCTTTGTGTAGAATCTAAGTTTCCATCTGGTATCATTTCCCTTACACCTGAATAACTTCCTTTAACATTTCTTGAACGTCTTTGGGTGGTAAATTCTCTTAGCTTTCATTTGTCCACAAAACTCTTTATCTATCATCTATCTATCTATCTATCTATCTATCTATCTATCTATCTATCTTTTTTCACGTCAGACGGGTAATGTGCCGATATTGTAACAAGATTAGAGGGAGGTGCATCTCACACAAGAGCATGGACACCCAACCATCACACTTATGAACCACAAAAGGATCTCCCCTTTATTTCTGAAGGATATTTTTCAAAGGATATAGAATTCTAGTTTGACAGGTTTTTTACACCCCCCTCCCCCAGCACTTTAAAGATTTCATTCTATTGCCTTCTAGCTTGCATGGTTTCTGATGAGAAGTATGTAGTATGTCCAACATTTGTTCTTTCATATATAGTTTGTCTCATTTCTCAAAATGCTTTTAAGATTTTCTTTTTATCACTAGTTTTTAGCATCTGATTTTGATGGGCCTTGGTGTAGTTTTCTTTTTTTTTTTTAAAGATTTTTTTTTGTTTTTAGATTTTATTGGGGAATTGGGGGAGGGGAATAGCGCTGGGGAATCGGGGGAAGGGGAATAGACAAGTTGCTGTTGTTTTGTTCTTCAGTCTAGTTGTGGAGGATGTTGCTTCACTGGCCCAACTTGGCACCATCATTGTGCTCTTCCCGGGAGAGGCAGATCTGTCGCCGGCTTCTGGACGGCCGCTCACTGCGGCTGCTGGCCGCTCATGCTGGCTGCTGGCTACACACGGTAGCCCATGGCAACCCACTGCCACAGGGGCTGCAGCCTACGCCGTCGCCGGCGACTCACGGCAGCCCAGCTCCAGGTTGAGCTGTTGTTCAGCATCTTAGCTGTGGAGGGCAGTGTCACTGGCCCTCATATGTGGGATCCAAACTGGGGCCCTCTGGCGTCCCAAGCCAGTTCTTAACCATCGCGCCACTCGGCTGGCCCTGGTGTAGTTTTCTTGATGTTTGTCTTGCTTGTGATTTATTGAGTCTCTTGGTTCTTATTAGTTTACATAACAAATTACCACAGACTGGATGGGTTAAAACAAACAAAAAAATTATACTCTCCTTGTGTTTTGGAGGTTGGAAGTCCAAACTCAAGGTGTCAGCAAAACCCCACTCCCTTCAAAGGCTCTAGGGGAGAATCCTTCTTTACCGCTTCTAGCTTCTGGTGGCTCCAAGCATTCGTTGGCTTGCGGGGGGCCTAACTCCATTTGTTGCCTCTATCTTCATGGAACTTCTCTCTGTGTATCTTGCCTTTGTTTGTCTTATTGACAAAGACACATTATTGGATTTAGAGCCCACTTGGATAATCCAGGCTGATTTGATCTTGAGATTCTTAACTTAATTACATCTCCCAATACCCTGTTTCTGGATAAGGTCCCATTCATAGGTTTTGGGGGTTAGGATGTAGACATACATATTTGAGGGGCACCACCATTCAACCAACTATCATAGGTTTTTAAAAAATCAAATTTAGTGGGGGTGGGGGGTTATCACTTTGTGAGGGGTGTAAATGTCTAACTATTACAATGTTTTGTATGCCTGAAACTAATTAAAAAATAAATAAAATTCAAAAAATAATAAATAAAATTTGGAAAAGTTCTCCTGTTATTTCTTTTAATTTGTCTTATTTACCCCCATTTCCTATGGAACTCCAATTACACTTATGTTAGAATGCCTTATAGTGTCTCATAGATTGCTTAGGCTTTTTGAACGTTTTTCAGTACTTTTTTACCCCATCTGTGCCTCAGTTTGTATAGCTCTATTGCTGTGTCTTCAAGTTCACTGATGTTTTTTGTAGTGTCCAATCTATTGTTAATTTCACTCAGTGGATTTTTCACTTCAGATATTGTACTTGGTGTCTCCTATTTCTTTCCCCATGAACTCTGTGTTCATGTTTTTCTTTGAACTCTTGAGCATATTGAGCCGTTCGTCATCTTTATTGTTTCTGAATATGTTTTTATTAAATGACTTTTCTTCTAATTATGTGTTGTATTTTCCTATTTCCTTGCATGTCTAGTGATTTGTAACTGGATGTTGCACATTGTCAATGTTGTGATGTTAAGCATTTGGATTTTACTGTCTTCCTTTAAAGAGTATTAGGCTTTGTTCTGGCAGACTAAGTGAAGTTACTTGCAAATCAGTTTGATCCTTTTGAGCTTATTTTTAAACTTTATTATATTGCGTCTAGGTGAGCCTTTTCTCTAGGGATAGTTTAGCCCTACTACTAAGGCATAAAACCCTTCTCAAGTCTCTATTGAATACCCTCCCCAGGCAAACAACAAGGATTCTCCACTCTGGCAGGTTGGAGCTTGAATGTCCCCCTGCCCTGGGTGAGCTCTGAGAATTTATCAACCTATTGCTCCTTTTCTACCTGGTCGAGTTTCACTCTACACATATGAAGTCTAGTATTTACCAAAGACTCAAAGGGACCCCATGCAAATTTCTGGAGCTCTTTTGTTGCTTAGCTCACCCCTTCCTGGAACTCTGCCCTGCAACTTCTAGCTACATCAGCCTCCCTGAACTCCTGTCTGTCTTCTCAACTTCCGAGCGAGACCTCTACTGTCTCTGCTAGGGATTTCCCTCCCCGAATTGCAGTCTCAAATATTCCTCCAGGTAGAAACCCAGGCAATCTTAGAGCCCACATTGTTTGTTTCTCTTACTTCAGGGATCACAGTCCTGCACTACTTGTTGTCTAATGTCTGCAAACAGTTATTTCATACATTTTGAAGCAATAGTTGGCTGTTTATAGTAGGAGGGTAATTTTAGTTATCATGGTTGGAGTAGAAGCCTTTTACTGGCATTTTAATCAAGTTTTGGGAAGGAAAGAAAGAGTTACATGCATGTCGTTGTTCACTGTACTTAACTAGAGGTCCTAGACTCCCGAGATATATTTAAATATTTATGTTTCACAAACATATGCTTTTATCACCCAACAAAAACCTCATGTAATATAATCATGCTATTCACAAAACCATAATAGGATTTATTAAAATGTTAATACACAGTGTTCCACAGACACAGGACATGAGTTTGAAGTTGTATCATGAACATATCCTTTCATTCCTATCGAAGTATTACTGCAACTGTTTGCTAAACCTCACTCAGTGGTAATGTCAACGGTCTAAATTGCTCGCCCTCCCTGAAGGTGTGGTCTTGGACCCCTAGGATAGACCCTGTCTCATGTGTCCTCCTTCGCCAGCAGCCTCTTTAGACCACCCTTTAGCTCCAAGCTTACTCCTTGCAGGCAGCCCACTGGGCCTTGGAAGAGTGACCCAGTCAGGGGATCTAAGTGGACAGGAAAGGAGGAAGCCCCTCCCTTTCCCAGAGTCATTTCCTGCCTTGCGCTTTCTACTCACCTGACCCCAGCTGCTTGTGGCAGTCTTCTATTGCCTTGAGAGAGGGGCCAGGTGCTTGCTGCCTGCTTAGAGGCTCTTGGGCTCAGCTGGGCTGCCTCGGAAGTGACCAGGGCTGTGTCTCCACTTCCTTCTCCAGGTGGACATCGAGCAGCTGGATCCCCGTGGGCGGACTCCCCTACACCTGGCCACCACACTGGGGCACCTCGAGTGTGCCCGTGTGCTCCTGGCACACGGTGCAGACGTAGGCAGGGAGAATCGCAGCGGCTGGACAGGTGGGCACCACTGCTCACGCCGGCCCCAACAGCCAGGGTCTCCCCAGCATCATATCCTTATTTGCCCTGTGACATGGCCTCCCCTCCCCCAGTGCTTCAGGAGGCTGTGAGTACCCGGGACCTGGAGCTAGTGCAGCTGGTGCTACGGTACCGGGACTACCAGCGGGTGGTGAAGCGGCTGGCGGGCATCCCAGTGCTCCTGGAGAAGCTGCGCAAGGTGAGGGCCAGCCCCAGAGCCCTTGAACCCTGTCTGTAGCGCGGACTTAGCCACTCTCCCTGTCATCCTCCAGGCCCAGGACTTCTACGTGGAGATGAAGTGGGAATTCACTAGCTGGGGTAAGAGGGGCTGCTGGGGGCCTCTCTGGGCACTCTCCCGCCTCGGGGCTTTTGCACTCGCTGCTCCCCAGCCTGGAGCGCTCTTCCCATAGCTCCTTCTGCGACTCCTCATCTTTTAGTTTTCAGCTCAATGTTACCTCCTCCTCAGCTAGGCCTTTCCACACTGCCTCCGACACTGTCTCTAGTCCATTATTCTCTCCTTCACTTTGTAATGATTTGCTCATTTGTTTGTTACATGTCGCTCCTCACTAGAAGGTAAGCGCTAAGAAGTCAGGGGTCCTATCTTGTTCAATGTTGCATCCTCAATGACTGGAATAGTGCCTGGCACACAGTAGGTGTTAATAAGTATTTATTGGAAGATTGGATAAAAGATTGAGTGAATTAACAAATGGTAGACACTAGGAACTTGGTGGTGGCGCGACACGCCTGTCCCTGACCTCAGATTGCTCATATCTGAGTGACTGTGGCCTATGTTTGTGTGGGGGTTGATGGGAGGGGGCTTTTCTCCCACCAGTTCCTACCCTTTCCCAGCCAAACCCCTGGCCCCCATGCCCTGAGGTGGCCCAGGTTGGGCGGCCCAGGGAAATCGAAGCTACTGCTGACCTTCCCTTTCCACCTAGTGCCCCTGGTGTCCAAGATCTGCCCTAGCGACACCTACAAAGTGTGGAAGAGTGGGCAGAACCTACGGGTAGACACCACGCTCCTAGGCTTTGACCATATGACATGGCAACGAGGGAACCGCAGCTTCGTCTTCAGGGGCCAAGGTCAGGCAGGCAGGAAGTGGGGCAGGGCAGGGAGGCTGGAGACAGCGCCATAGCACCCCTGACCTCCTGTGCTGTTCCATGACTGGCAGATACAGGCGCCGTGGTCATGGAGATTGACCATGACCGCCGGGTGGTGTACACAGAGACTCTGGCGCTGGCCGGCCAGGACCGTGAGCTGCTATTGGCTGCTGCCCAGCCCACCGAGGAGCAGGTGCTGAGCCGGCTCACTGCGCCCGTTGTCACCACGCAGCTGGATACCAAGAACATCTCCTTTGAGAGGTGAGTGGGCATGGCCTTGATAGCCTGGAGCCACCTGGCGAGGTGCCCTCTTACCTGGACCACTCTGCTTCTCCAGGAACAAGACTGGCATCCTGGGCTGGCGCAGTGAGAAGACTGAGATGGTGAATGGGTACGAAGCCAAGGTGAGGCCACAGCTCCAGAGTGCCAGGACACTCTTGCCTATAGCGAGCTGGGCAGGGGTTTCTTCACCACCCTCTCTCAGCCTTGGAGGTGCAGAAGCCAAGCAACATGAAGGGACGGGCACTAGGCTAAGAGGCAACTGATGAGAAAGGCCAGAATTTATTGAGCACATATTATATTCATGTTCAAGGCACTGTTCTGACATTTTATATGTATGTATGTATGTATGTATGTATGTGTATATATCACACACATACTTGTGCTCATTTAATCCTCACGACAACCCTTTCGGGTAGGTGCTATTATTCCCATTTTACAGATGTTTATTGAGCTCTTTCCATGGTATTCCATTTAATCTTCATAATAACTATGATTTAGGGTATTGGCCCATTTTATGGTGAGGAAATGGAGGCTTGGGGTGGTTAAATGGCCTGTACAAGGTTACACAACCGTGAGTGACAGCTGAGGTTCAGACCCTGGCTGTCTGACTCCAAAGCCAGGCCTGTACCCCTAAGAAGACTGTGTAGGTCACTCTGGGACTTCCACATCACCCAGGGGGGACCACATGGTGCCGCCGCTGAATGAAAGAACTAACAGACGCGGCAGGGTTCTGTATTATTTCCTCCTGGGAGCCTTCCCTGGTTTGGCAGGCTGGGTCAAAGCCTCTGCTTTTTGTTCCCACAGCCCTGTGCGCCCCACACCAGAGCACATATCATGCTGTGTTGTAACTGTCCATTTTCTTGTTTCTTCAACTAGACTGTGAGCCTCAAGAGGGCAGGGATCATGTCTGGCTGTGTTTGTTCAGCATGGTATCCCTGATGCCTGTCCCAGTGCCTGATCCAAAAAGGCTCCTCACAAATTGTTGGTTGAAGGAATAAGAAAGTGAATGAATGTCTTCATAAATTTACTTGCCCTAAGACCTGGAGATGGGAGCAAACAGCTTCTCCTCCCCTGCCCCAGACCCTTCCTTACAGAGTGTTCAGAATGCCCTTGGGGGCAGGGGATAGTGGTACCAGAGCTGTCTTTGAGCCCTTTCCTCATCTTTCCTCAGGTATATGGCGCATCCAATGTGGAACTCATCACCCGGACACGGACAGAGCATCTTTCAGAACAGCACAAGGGCAAGGTCAAAGGTAATGAGGCAGAGGCACATGACGGGATGTGTGAGGAACCAGCTTCCACTTGAGCACCTCCATCAGTATTCCCTGTGACATCTTTGCAAAAGTCAGGATAGTTATTCAGGCAAAGAGGCTTCAGTTCAAATGCTAAGTCCTAATGATTGGTAATGGCTGCCTAGAGTGCTACTGAGCTGATTCTAAGGCAACATTCGGGCTCAATGGATAGGAGTTGATTACTAATGTCTGCACTGGATTTGGGAAGGGAGGGAAATGGCATGGATCCTATGTACTGGCCGTTCTAGTCTAATGGGACATACTCTAGGCAAAGAAAGTCAGGGAGGCCCTGCCACTGATTCTCTGTACCTGTTAATGCCACACCTGCCTCTCTGGGCATGAGTTAGATTGTCTAAAGTGGAAAGACATAATTCCTGCCTCACAGGGGAACAAATGAAGTCATTGATAGGGAAGTGCCTGAAGCGAAACACACATACACACATGCATCCCCCAGAACTGCTCACCAAAGGCAGGTATTTTTTATTCAGTGTCACCAACCTGAAGAGTGACTCTTATAGAAGTTTCGCCTGAGACCCAGGCCTGCTTTTATTCCAGCTGTGTTTATAGTGGTCCTGGACTTGTCCTTTCAAGTTCTCAGTCACCTTCAGATGAAGGTGCCTGGATGTGTGGTGTGGATAAGCCAATCCCTCTCCCCCCACCCCCACCCACCCCAGGAAGCAGCCTCCTCCCTAGGTCTTGGGTGCTGTCACTTCTGAGGGCTGCACTGTCCTCTGAGGTGCCACATTTGTTGTAGGCTGTAGGACACCTCTGCAGTCCTTCCTGGGAATTGCTGAGCAGCATGGGGGCCCTCAAAATGGGGTGAGTGTGTGCCATGGGTGTCCCTTGGTGGAAGGGTGTGAATGTGGCTTAGGAGGAGGCCTGGGAGGCATCCTGCTTAGCATGGTCTATGTGGACCTCTATTCCACAATGCCCAAAGCCATTTCAGCTCCACAGTGGCAGGGGGGGGGGTCAGCTCCGGGGCCTGTAATGGCTGGCCTCGTACCAGGGACTGAGAAGGGCTCATGGGCCCCTCCCCATGTGGTACAGACCCTGATCACTCAGACTCTGAGCCAAGCCAACCCCACTGCCATCACCGCAGAAGAGTACTTCAATCCCAACTTTGAGCTTGGCAACCGTGATATGGGCCGCCCCATGGAACTGACCACCAAGACACAGAAGTGAGGCCCCCTGCTGGTGATGGAGAGGGGTGGGCAGGGCAGGGCAGAGCCAGTGGGGCTCCAGACAGTTCTGCAAGGCCATGGCTTCTACAATGTCCCTCATTCCTTGGGATCCATGGGGGCAGGTTCAAGGCCAAGCTGTGGCTGTGTGAGGAGCATCCCCTGTCCCTGTGTGAGCAGGTGGCCCCCATCATTGATCTCATGGCTGTCAGCAACGCACTTTTTGCCAAGCTGCGGGATTTCATTACCCTGCGCCTGCCTCCTGGCTTCCCTGTCAAGATTGGTGAGACCCCACCCCATTTTCTCTCAGTGGCTGTCAGGGGTGTGGGGCTTAGATGAGGTGAAGAGTGTGTGGGGAGCTAAAGTGTACGAGGGGGGTTGGTGGTGCCTGATGGTTTCCTCATGGTCAGAAATCCCGATCTTCCACGTCCTCAACGCCCGCATCACCTTCGGGAACCTCAACGGCTGTGACGAGCCGGTGCCGTTGGTGCGAGGCAGCCCCAGCAGCGAGACCCCTTCCCCAGGCAGCGACTCTTCCAGTGTCAGCAGCTCCAGTTCCACAAGTGAGCCCTGTCAGCTTCTGAGCCCACCCTCCCCTCCCCCCCACACTGGAGTGAGTGCTGGCTGCCCCTTTCTGGGGAGCCACTCTGACCCCAGCCTGTCCTCAGCCTCCTGCCGCAGCTGTGAAATCTCCCCCACCTTGTTTGAGGCCCCAAGAGGCTACAGCATGCTGGGCGGCCAGCGGGAGGCGGCCACCCGTGATGACGAAGATGACCTACTGCAGTTCGCCATCCAGCAGAGCCTGCTTGAAGCGGGCAGTGAGTATGACCAGGTGCGTCCCCGCAGCCGCACCCAGCCACTGGACTGGGCACCACCATAGCCAACTGGCCCACACCCCCTCCCTCCAGGTCACCATCTGGGAAGCGTTAACCAACAGCAAGCCGGGCACTCACCCCATGTCCTACGAGGGCCACCGACAGGACAGGTCAGTGCCCGCCAGGATTTGGAGAAGCCTAACCCTGCCCACCCCACATGCACACAGTACCCCAGTACCCTGTTTCAGTGGTGAGGACACTGCGGGCTGAGCAGCCCCTCTTGGCCCAGAGAAACTGGTACCCTCACCAAGGACCCTACTGGTATCAAAAAGGCTTCTCCACCACCCTTTGTTTGACTCTGGGATGGATGAACAGTGCTCCAAAAGGGACCTGGGAGCAAGGGCCAGGCCACCTGGCCTCTACAGCCTCACCAGGCAGGATGTTGGGCCGGGATTCTAGAAGATGCCCACATGCCCTGGGTCACCGTCCACTGGGAAGGTGGAAGGATCTCCCACAACTGGGTGGGAGCCAGGGTGGTAGCCAGGGTGGTGACATGGGACTCCTCACCTTCACTGGAGGGTGGCAGGCCTGCTGTCGTGGGGCCTTCACGCTGGCTCCTGGCCACGGTCACTGGCAGGTCCGCTGGGAGCCCTGGACGTGTCTTCCCTGCCCCCAGGAACACCACACACACGCCCCACCACCAGCCTGTGCCCCCAACGGCGGTTCCCAGCCCTCGGCCCAGCCCAAGCCGGGGCCCCGGTGGCCACATGTTCCGGAGCTACGACGAGCAGCTGCGGCTGGCGATGGAGCTGTCGGCGCAGGAGCAGGCGCAGGAGCAGGAGGAGCGGCGGCGGCGCGCACGCCAGGAGGAGGAAGAGCTGGAGCGCATCCTGAGGCTCTCGCTGACTGAGCAGTAGCGCCACGGGGCCCTCACCCATACCACGCATGCCCCGCCCCGGAGTGAGACGCCGGGTCTGCACGCCTGTCCCTCTGCGGCTGGAGACCTGAGCCGCTGCCTCAGGGGCGTAGCGGTCACCAGGCACCGGACCGGGAGGGGTTCGGCATGGCCACGGGGTACTTTTCCGGGCCAGGGCCCTAGAGGCAGCTGGCACGGCCTGGTCCCCCTGCTTTGCTGTATCCTGACCCCCACCCCTCCCACCTGAGCTCAGGCCGGTCCAAAGGCAGAGTCAGGCAATTCTGAGTGGGAGACGGGTCCTTAGAGGAGCAGTGTCCCCATCCTTGCTCCTTTGGGCCAGCCCTACTTTCTGCTCGCTGACCCCTCTCCAGGACACTGCCCGTGAAGCCTTTGCATCTCTGCTCTTCACCCCTGGGGCGCAGCTGAGCTCCCCACGTGCTGTGTTGCTGCTTTGTTCCAGACACAAACCAGCAGGTCAAAGGCCCAGCGCCTCCCCCACCCCGGCATTTCAGCGTCAAGTGCACTTAGCGGGGTGCCCGGCTCCCCCAGCCCCCACACCTCTCCCGGGTTGGGTCTCAGGGTGGTCCTAGCTTCGATTTTGGTGGCCAAAGGTTGGAGTCCCCTTCCTCAAGACACGTCTTTGTGGTCAGGGTGGGTGCCCAAGGTACCCCACCCACACACACACACACCTCACAAGGCCTGGCTCCCTTATGCTCTCTTGGCAAATGGGGGAGGGAGGGCATATTGGGCTGGGGGCAAACACGAGACCCTATACTAGACTGGACACAGAGGTATCACCTAGGGCCCTGGCACCACCACCCACCCCTTCCCACCAGCTGCTGCTAGCCCTCTGTGGTTGTGCATCCCACTTGCCCCCACCCAGGGGCTGACTCTAAAAACCTTCATCCAATGGTGCTAACCCCCGGCTCTCCCCTGCCCCACCCCACCCCCCCAGAGAAGCACAGACCCCCCTAGGGGCAGGGTCCCACTGCACACCCTTGTCTGGGTTCTCTCAGACTGGCCTTCCTGGCTCAGCCAGTGAGGCTCAGAAGGGACACAAAAGGGATAGAAGAAAACAACAAAGGAAAAGGAAAACTGTTCCTCTCACCCCCTTCCCTGATGCCAGGGGCACCAGACTGATTCTGAGGCACAAATAAACAAGGCTTCAAACCTGAGGCTTTTCCTACCTGCCTTTACTGGGGGAAGGGCACCCACCTGAAGTCTGGGGATTCCTTCTGAACCTCAGTGTGGGGAGGGCTCTGAGGTAAGAGGATGCCTGATGGGTCCTGAGCCCAGCCACGGTTGCATTTGTCAGGGAGTAGCGTTTCAGCAGCTGGGGTTCTCATCACCCCTTACATCCACCCATACAAGAGCCATAGACAGAGCACTTAGTAAAAGATTTAATTCAGTATGTCTTGTTTTTCTCCTAGAGTCAAGGCCACAGCAGAGGGCTGGGGGGGCTCTGTGTGTGTGTGTGTGTGTGTGTGTGTGTGTCCCCGCTTCCTCAGGACAGTTCTGTTCTCCGGTAGTGGGTGCCTGGGTGCCACAGGAAGTCACCCTCTACCCTGTGGATGGGAAGAAGGAAGAGAGCCCCCTGTTGGGTGTAGCCAGCAAGTCCGGCTCTACAGCCAAAGTGTTGTGCATGTCTGTAGAATTGGGGTAATGCCCATCCAGTGTACTACTCGGTGGTGGAATTAAATGAGCTGATTAGAGGAAGAAGCCTTGTTAATCTTCCCCAGCCAGTCTGGAGACACCGGTCAAATCGCCACCTCTTTGAGGTCAAGCCCAAGTTCCTGCATATCCCCAAGCATCGAGCTAATAATAATAAGCACTTGCCCTGCCCTGGGTGGGAGGCAGCGGGGACACCGCCTCGCCGAGCAGCACCGTTGCCGAGGCCCGTCACCTCGGGCCTCCCAAGGCCAGCTCCTGTTGAGTCCTGGAGGAGGCACAGTGCCGGGTGGGCGCCAGACAGACGCGCGTCTCTGCGACGCTGCGTTTGTCCAGGCCTCTCGTGAGGGGCCGAGTTCCCTTCCCAGTTCCGTCCCGGCTCCAGCCCGGAGAGGCGGGGTCGGGAGTTCCCGACCAAAAGCTGGGGCGGGCCGAGTCCGTGCGACCGGCCGACCTTGCCTTCCAGACTCGGAACGGTCCCCAGCGCGCAGCGCTAGTCCGTGCCGTCCACCAGTTCGCACAGCATGTTCTCCAGGGCGGTGATGCGTTGCTCCTGGGACTGCACCTGCTCGCGAAGGGCCTTGATCTCCTGCAGCAGCGCCTCCAGGGTGTGCTGCTGCTGGGGCGCGGAGGACAGAAGGGACAGTGTGGGGCAGGGGGCCGTAGGGGGGCAGGTAGGCTGGGCCTGGGTGGAGCCGGGCCGATCTTACCGACAAGGGGGCGTCACTGGCCGACTGGCTGCGGCGGGGGCCGGAGGGCGGTCGCGCGTCCAGGATGTTGCGTTTGGTGACCCGGAGCTCGCGATGCTTGGGGGGTACGTAACCGTCCCTCAGCGAAATGAGCACGGGGTCGGCGTCCTGACCCGACAACCATTCGTCTGCCTCTAGGGCCGGCTCCGGGCCTGGTGTATCTGGGTATAGGTCATCCTGGAACAAGTCTGACTGTGGGGGTTGAGGGGACAATTGTTAGGGTGCTGGGCCTGCTCCGCTCCGAGCCCTCTCCAACCCCTTTCCCAGGCCCTTACCTTGCGGGGTACAGTCATGATGATGGGTTCACACTTTCTTTCATGCAACTTGTAGAACCTACAAGGGAGTGAGGCTGAGCACCCCTCCCCACCCCCAACACACACACACACACACCCCGTCTCCCACGTCAACTTCCGCCTGGGACCAAGGGGTTAGAGGCCAACACTTGCTGAGCGCCTCCCATGCATTGCACTTCAAAAACATTGTTGGTCCAGCTGGTTAAACACCTCTGATGGAGGGTTTATCATCATTTTACAGATGACAAAACCGAAGTTCAGAGAATGTCAAGTTAGTGCTGGGGCTGTCACAGGAAAGAAGCCTGTGTCCCCCTCTTCCCCCCCCCCAGCTCTTTTCTAAAGATTACACTATTGGGAAAGTGCCGCGCCTTCCCTTATGGAAAACGGTGACAGAAGCAGGCAAGCAGGAAGGGTAAAGGCTGCTGACCGGGCGATCTCGCATTTGCTGACATCCAGCCCCCGTTTGGGCATGAAACCCATGCCCCTCTGCGGCTCCTTGCTGCTGAACGTGTTCAGGTAGTGCACAAAAGGTGCTTCGTCGGTAATCTCAAAGTACCGAATGCTGCTGTCGCCCTGCAAAACCAGTTGGTTCAAAAATAAAACAAAAAACCAGTTGGTTCAGGGGCCACCCAGAGGGGCCCTGCACATCTCCATCCAGGCCTCCTGTTCTCCCCTCCAGGCCCTGAGCACCTTGCCGCATAGGTAGATGATGCTGGAATCGGGATCGTAGAAGGGCAGTAGGACCCCGTTGCTTGTGTCCATCTCCTGCAGTGCCACCGGCTCCTCAAAGTTGTTCTGCCGGAGCACAGGAGGCATGACCAGACCTGTCCCGCCTTCCATGCCTCTTCTGGATCCCCTGAAGCCCCTTTAGGCTTCCTGCCCGCCCTAACCCCCCATGCGTTCCCACTGCAGCTCTATTGAACCGAGCGGCAGGCCCCGCCCCTGGACACATCACTCCCAGCCTCTTGCACAGATGCCCCCTGTGCCGCTGCATGCAGTCACCACAAACCACCCCCAGGGACTCGGCATCACCAGGTGGAGGCGCCAGCGCGGGCTCCTTCAGGCGTCGCAGCAAAACTGGGCAGAGGGGTAGGTGTGGGGATAGTAGGCACTGCAAAGAGGGCAGCAGACCCCGGCCCTGTCCAGGTGGGCATGCCCTGCGGATGGGGGGCACCTGGCCCCTCTCCGGTGATGCCAGTCCCCGGGGCACACACCCCAAGCTTCCAACTGCGTTACCGGGTCCCACAGGCCCAGCTCTCGCTGGCTCATGCGGGTGAAGCCCGTGGTGAAGATATGACCCTGGCGTGTGAAGACGGCCCGCATGGGCCTCATCCCCTCATGGGCCGCAAACCTCTCCTGGGGGCAGGGGGAAGATAGGGAGAGGAGTCACCCAGCTGCCTGCCCTGGGGAACCTGGAGGGCCTAGCACCCAGTTTGCAGACTTGGGGGCAACAGCGGAGACAAAAAGGAGCCCAAGTACTCAGCTTCCTGGGGGCCCTAGCTGGCCCCAGGCCTGGGGAACGTCTGGGCCCGCAGAGAGCAGGAGGCACTCATCTCTCAGCAGATGCTGAGCATTTCAGCGCCTTCAGAGGCTGATCCTTAGAGCAGGGGATATTGCTGGCTCCCCGGGGACACAACGAGGCTATTCCCAGACGGGAGCTCACCGCTCCACTTCAGCCCTGTGGGGCACGGGCCACAGCCTGGGAGGGCGCTCCAGGCTGACCCAGCGAAGCAGCGAGCGCGCGAGCCCAGCGCGGCCTGGCCTACCGGGTCCCAGAGCGCGAGTTGCCGCTCACTCATCCTGCTGAAGCCGGTGCTGAGTAGCTTCCCGTCTGCGGTGAAGACGGCCCGCAGCGGGCGGGCGCCCTCGTGAGGCCGGGCTCGCTCCTGATCGCGGGGTTAGTGGGTTAGCGCGCCCGCTTGCCCGCCCCCGCTCCCGCCCCAGCACACACTCGGCGCAGACATGCATGTGACCCCGTACCCCGCGTTAGGCTGAGGTGGGTGAGGCAGATGCAACCGACCTCCCAGGGCACCCAGCTGGGACCAGCGAAGGTTGCCCCCTCTCCCCCTCCCAGCAGGTCAACTGGGGTGGGAAGGGGCCCACCCGAGAGCCAGTGTCAGGTCCCAGACCCTGGAAGATGGCGCTGGGTGTCGGCTGAGAGGAGAGGGGTCCGGGAGCTCAGGTTTCATGCAGGTTCTGGTGGGAGGATAGCTTGCAGCTTCTCCCCCTCTCAATCACAAACCAAGGAGCCCTCCTCTGAACTCCTGAGGGGGAGGGGAGGGGAGGGGAGAGGAGTGGGGCCGAGAATTGCAGGCTGGGGGCTTCCTCAGGGCAAGGAGCTGTGGTTGCAGACACAGCGGGGGTAGGGGGGAGATGTGGGAGTGGGAGCACTAGTATCTGGGGTTGGGATGGGGGAGGTGGGAGCTGGGACCAGGGGCTCAGAGGATTGTGGGGACAGGGGCCTGACAGCTGGTCTCTGGGGTAGGGGCTGGGGAGTGGCCAGGCCAGGCACTCACCGCCACCACCTGGCCCTTGCGGGGGTCGACGATGCGCAGGGTCTTGTCCTTGCAGGTGGTGGCTAGCAGGCTGCCGTTTCTGTTCCAGCACACACTGTGGATAATGTCCGGGTGCATGTCGTCCAGACTCAGGAGCACCTCGCCAGTGCCCACGTTCCAGATGATGATCACATTGTCACCACCTAGCCAAAGCGGCCAGGCGCTGTCACCCAGGCCTTGCCTTTGCCACCCCCGCCCCCCACATCTACAATAGGGACCCCTCCGTTGGCCCCCAGACCTGCACTGAGCAGGACATTCCGGGCAGTGGGGTGCCAGGAGAGGATGCCCACACGCTTGGAGTGGCCTTCGAGTGTGATGATGGGTTCTGTGATGTTGCGCATGGGGGTATAGTCTGGAATCTGCCACACCTGGGTAGGAGGAAAAGGCAGAGGGGAGGTGGGATGCGGAGCCACTTCGTTCCTCCGCCCCTCCTTTCCTTCCCCTCCCCAACCCTCCAACCCTACTGGCTTTCTTGAGTGGTGTCAAAGGCAGGGCAAGATGTGATGGTACCTGCCTGGGGCAGAAGCAGCTAGGAGCCAGGAGGGGGCACTGCCAGCTCTCCAGGGACCTCCCTATTCACGTCATCAGGGAGACTTCGGAGCACTGCCCCACTGCTCTTCAGGCCCCAAGTTGGCCATGGCTATAATTAGTCCTAAGCAGTGCATCCTGGGAGGGGGTGGGCATGTAGCTAAAAATAGCCTGGGAGCTGGGCAGGGCAGGGTCCTGGGACCCAGCACCTCCCTTACCACCTTCCCCAGCACAGGTGAGGCAACCCTCCCTGCTTCCCTGCCCAACTGCCCAGTGGCATCCAATTGGCTCCTACCATGACGGTGGTGTCATCTGAGGCACTGGCGATGACGTTGTCATTGTGCGGGCACCAGTCAATGTCCAGCACAGGGGCAGTGTGCCC